GAAACGCATAATAATAAAATGTGGTAAGTTAGTCAGAAAAATTTATTCTATGTGTGGACAAACAAGGCGTGCGACCGCACGCCTTTCCTGGGAAAGCCTGTACATACATACATACATACATACATACATACATACATACATACATACATACATACATACATACATACATACATACATACATACATATATACAACTCTACACATACATACATACACACACACACACACACATACATACATACATACATACATACATACATACATACATACATACATACATACATACATACATACATACATACATACATACATACATACATACATACATACACATACATACATACATACATACATACATACATACATACATACATACATACATACATACATACATACATACATACATACATACATACATACATACATATATACATACATACATACATACATACATACATACATACATACATACATACATACAGTCAACTTTATACTATATAGTCAACTTTAAGTATTATAATTTACTTCTTACTTCCTCTGATGTAAACAAAACTAGTTTTTTCTCATTGTAGCCGGTACGCTTGAAATTAGGGCAACGCCTAAAAAAAAATTATACAAAAGCATGCAAAATAATTAAAAAGCAAATTATTTAATACAAAATTTAAAGGAACATAATATTTATAGAATATGTTACATGTTCTGCTCACGTTTTTTTTTAACATTTAATATTTATTTACGGGAGTTTCAACGGCTGTGTATATTTTTAAATATGTAAACTTACTCCAGTATTCTATTCAATCTCAATTATTAAATGAATATGAAATATTTTTAACAAATTTATAAAATAAGTATAGCAGTATTATACTTGTTAATTGCAACCATTACTATTTATTGTATACTATCAGAGTTTTTAGTTGATTATTATCATCAGAGTTGTTAGTTAATTATTATCATTGGAGCTGTTAGTTGATTATTACAACCATTATCAACTATTACATAATTAGGGTTGGAAAATAGAATTAAGACTGTTTGACTAAAAAAAAAAAGTTTTTTTTATATAATAACATAAAAATTTAAAGTTCATCAAAAGTTTTTTGATTAACCATTAACATTAAACTTTTTACAAGTATCATTTAACTGATTTTTGTGCACACTGCAATGGCCTATTAGGTCACAGGTTTTTAAAACCTCATGCTTCTGCATAACCATTCACAATTTGTTGTTAAGTTTTTATGAAAATATTTTCATAAAAATTTATCCTGTACGTCAAAAAATTATCCTGTGTGTTTATTCCTAAAATATACTCTAAAATGCATTTTAGAGCAAGTTTTAAAACAAAAACATAAAAATTATTGTCTTAAATCTTTTGAACAAGACAGAAATGTTTGGCATCAACTGTATTATAGTGTGAACATCTAGCAAAATTTGCTAGGTGTTCACTGCTTTTCTCATTTCCTGACAGAATTGCGGACATGTTTTTACTTGTGAACCATTAGAAGAAAGGAATGATGCAGTCATAAATCTACTGGTGAACAGCTTGCAGCAGAAGCAATACACACAGTCATTACTTCTAGAATACTGCAGCCAATGTCTGCGAACATCATCTCCATTGACAAGCTGATTCAGGTATTGTCACTGGCAGAGTATCAGTATAAAATTTAATTACCCAAGTAGCTGAATCGCCATAATTTATCAAATTTATTCACTTCAGATTCTTGGTGTGTAACTTGTATTATAATATGTAATTCAAACTCTGCTGATGTTGTCAGGCTTCCCTGCCTGCTTCAACTTTATTGTTAAACTCATCTGTGTCATTTTCGTATTTCGTAAGTATTTTCGGAAGTGAAGACTACTTTAAACTATGAAAATATCTTGCATAAAGTTGTCTTCTATTTCAAGCTTTAATTTTTAAAGATTCTTGATCTTTTAACCAGATGAATGAGAATCTTATTGAAGCAGTTCTACAACCTCAATTTTATAATAAATTTATCGAATGAAATGACAAAGCACAACTTTAAAGATATTCACTTCATGCTATGTTCGAGGAACTTATTGAAAAAAACTGCATATTCAGCAATTTTATTAACATCATTCGCTTTGCAAAAAATTCTTCAAAAAAAAGTATATATCTCTGAGATGAATCATCTGCCTTTCATGATTTTTTAAGCTAACTCAACAGTTTTAAAGCAACAGTAATTTTCCATCATCATTTTGCAATTAGTTTTATAGCAGCAATCTGAGCTGAATGTCTGGTGCCCAATAGCTTGTAAAGCAAGATCTTCTGTCTAGCGGGACTGCAGCTAAAAACAAAAAGATCTTAGATTTTTATTTATTTATTAAAACAATCATGAAGCTTATACATAGAAAGTTTAGTATTGATAAACAAAAGCAATACCAGGCGTTCATATGCTGACAATTGGTATTACTGCAGCCGAAATAGTATCATAAAAATACTTTCATACCAGTTTACTGTAGGTATATCAATTACATTCTGTGCTAATTTATTCAAAAAGTTTGCATGGTTTTGAAAAAAGTGCTGACATTCTGGTAACCTTTGATTAGTTGAGGTTTTAAACAGGTCATTTTTTAATTATAAGCTAAGTTTTATGAGAAAGTGTAAACATACCAACGTTTTTTTAACTAAGTTTTTAACATCCTTTTAAGTTCTTTAACAGCGCCTTTCTGTGACGCGACCTGATGGTTATATTATAGTTTTAAAATAATTTCTTTCTTTAATAATTTATTAAAGAAATAACTATTTAAAACTATAATTCTTTGGTATGATAGTCAAAGCAAGGTAATTTCTATGTACATCATCAAGTAAATTTATTTATACTTTATCAATAAAAACCATTTTTTTCTTTTTTGTAATGAAAATCTTATGCTTATTTTTGTATTTTATCTTCTGACACCTCTAATACCTTGGTGCCTGGGGCATGTATGCCCCTTTTGCCCACTCCCTTGTGCATTGTTTATTCTTAATTAATTGAAAAATTAATTAAAAATTGTTTACTAATATACACTAAACCCACAGTTATATAAAACTTTAGTTTGTTATTATAGTTTTTATTTTAAACTAATTTTTACAATATACAAAAAACTTACAAAAAAAAAGTATATCAATTTTAAATCATTTATTTTTATAAATTTATATATTTTATATTCTATGAAAAATGGAAAGTAATAAATGAAAATTTGGTGCCTTCAAAGCCTTGGAACCTAGTTAAAACTCGCCCATTGTACCCGCCTTCCACCAGGCCTAAACATGCAAGTTAAAAACAATTTTCACAATAAACTTGGTTAAATGTATTAATATTTGATATAAATGAGTAATGAAAACTTTGCATTCTTGCATAAAGAAATATAATTCTTTATGCAAGAATGTATAAAGAGAATAAATATCAAAGTTGAAAAGTTTCTAGTTGATATCTAGTTTCCAGTTTCTATTTGCAGAGGTATAAAAGAGTACTTTTTCAAATGTCTGAAATTTAATTCAAAAGAAATTTGAAAAAAATTTTGGCTATGTTTTTAATATTTTTATGTAGCTAGCATTTACTCAATACTAATTACTTGGTCATTTTTATTAATAGTAAAAATTTACAATATATATTAAGAAAATGCATTGAATATACCTTATAAATTTTTTTTTGAAGTTCATCAAAAATATTTTAGATCTCTAAACAAAACTTTTTTCTAAAAAAGCTATTTTAAAAAAGACCAATAAATAAAAGTTAAAATCTTACTTGTGTCGCGCAAGAACAATTGCTTCCATATTGCTAAGTGAACCACCTAGTTAGATATAAAAATACATTTTATGAATGTAAATAAATGATTACAAAATAAAAAATAATATTTACTCACTAAATTTTTATCATTAGAGTAAGTGTAATCATTTATGCTTTCCTGCAAAAGTCTTATTTGATAATATCTTTTTTTTTTTAATTTTATTTCGATTTGTTATAGATAGTTTGTACAAAGTAATGCAATTTTACATTTGTTACTTAATTTGAGGAATATTTCCTATTCTTGAGAAATTGGACTTTTTTTTCACATACTTAGTAATTTGCTTAAGAATACCAAACAACCTTTACTTTTCATGTCATATCTATTTTATTTTATTAATATTTTTTTTAATGTTAATTTACCTCCCCAAGGCTGAGAAGGCCACTACAGACAAGGAAGCTACTTAATTGTGGTTATAACCTTCTCTCAACTCTATAACTCCTTAAAACGAACCTTGATGAACAAGGCCGCTGCATGGAGAAAAAAGTTGAGCTTAGTACTACCAGGGACGCGGTGGGGATCGAACTTGGAACCACTACACCACTATCACATTTTTATTGTTGCCACTATTGTAGTGACCTTAAATGCCGCATTGAGGATGAAAACTGTTTTTTGGATTTAGGAATACTCATTTTTAGGCCCTTGTATCTACGTGAATTTGTGTAGAGAATCATGGTGCGTTTAAGTATTTTAACTTCATTGCTTTTGTCCAAAATATATTATAACTAGAACAATACGAAAAGATCACTTTCAAGCGACACATACTTGGTCTTTTCACAGACAATGATTCTTTAAATATTTATTATGAGGAAATTTTGTTATTCTTGTTTACCTATTTTGACCAAAAAATAGAAGAGCTATTTAGTTTTTTTCTAAATTTTAAATATTTTTTCAAATTATTTTATCAATTTAAAACAAACTAATAAAATAGCATTAATTTCAAAATATAATTATATATTGAAAAAAAAAATTAATAAGAAAATTAGTTTTAAAACTTGATGTTATTCCTAAAAACCATTTAAAAAAATAATAAATATAATTGTAACATGAGCTTCTAGGATGACATAAAACATTGCACCAAAAAAATTTTTTAAAACAAGAACATTTTTATCTTTTTAACTATTACATCAGAATTTACAAGAAAATCTTTGAAAAGCTTGGCAAATAGAAAGTTTTTGCATGTTTACTTAAGCTATTAACCTCACTAACTATTAACACTTTAGATAAATCAAATTTTTAGCCAAAGAAAGCTTTGCAATATTATTTTAATATTTCATACCTTTAACTTTTAAAACAACATCAGTAAGATAAGCATGAATACTTCTTTTTATACTTCTGAATACTTCTGTCTATAGATGATATACAGACATTTATACAATTTCTACTGTTTTTAGTTTTTCAGGAACCTTTACACTTTTTTAATAGTTTTAGGAGAGTTTGATTTAAAATTTTAAAATATGAATGTGAAGACTCAATTATGTTTGTCTCAGAAATTCTTCATAATTGTCTTTATCTATTTTGATCTCCACCACGTCCCTGATAGGATCTTGTTTCTCCTTCTTTTATTTCAACCACTTTTTTTTTGTTGCTGTGTACCCTTCATCTTTTTTTTTATTTACTTTTTTGTTATACTTATTGCTTTAACCACTTAAACTCCATTCCTTTTCATGACTTAGGACTCTTAAAGCGTGTACACAAAATAAATGTGAAAGTAGAAAAATAACTTAAGACTCTTAAAGCGTGTACATGAAATAAATGTGAAAGTAGAAAAACAACTTAAGACTCTTACTTTTTTTAAAAAAAACAATTAAGACTTTTAAATAATTGAATTCTTGAATTCTGAATTTCATGTTTATAATAAATTATACAATACAAATTTATAATAACTAGAGTTTCCTCAACTCATTTTAAACGCTAAAACTATTATTTTAAATGGATTTACATTGATATAAATGTTTTTTTTTACTGCACAATAACTATACAATCCTTATCAGACATTGTTATTCAGTAATTTCTGAAATATTTAATTGAATTTTACAAATTCAAAAAACCTCAAAATCAAAATCTCTCACACTATGAACACTTTCAAAAAAAATCAAAGATAATAAGTAAAATAAGGTTTAGTACCTGGAAAAAAGAAACCATCGCCATTTTCATAACCTACAACAGTCAGAAACTTCTCTACTATAAACTTCTCCATGAGAATATAAACAGGTGACATTTCAAAGGTGAACCTAAACAAAGAAAATTGAAACTCGTTGATTTATAATGCTATATATTTTTTATTATATACATTTTAAATTTTAAAAAAAAAAACACTTGTTTACATAGTTGTATTAGTGACTGAAGCCATCCAGTCTCCTAACAAGCAGTTTACATCAACACCAGCCCAAAGTTGATTAAAAAAACGAGGATGTGCTGAATTAAAAATAGCATATGGAAAGATTTTATTAAATATATTACCATAATTAGAAAATATTGTCATAATTAGTTAATAATAGTATTGATTCAATTGAATGCTAATTCGCAGATATCTTTTTTTTCAACAAATTATTAAAACAATATTTAATAACTTATATAAATAAATAAATATTTTTAAATACAATAAAAATGAATTATTTCTAATAAAAAAAACATACAGGATGTTGATTGATAAATATATAAGATGTTTTAAGGTATTGAAGATTAGTTAGACAAGTTATTTTGACTGTTCACAATATGGTTGCTATTTTATACTGTAACAATATGGTTGCTATTTTATACTGTACTTCTGTTCACAATATGGTTGCTATTTTATACTGTACTTCTGTTCACAATATGGTTGCTATTTTATACTTTACTTCTGTTCACAATATGGTTGCTATTTTATACTGTACTTCTGTTCACAATATGGTTGCTATTTTATACTGTACTTCTGTTCACAATATGGTTGCTATTTTATACTGTACTTCTGTTCACAATATAGTTGCTATTTTATACTGTACTTCTGTTCACAATATGGTTGCTATTTTATACTTTACTTCTGTTCACAATATGGTTGCTATTTTATACTGTACTTCTGTTCACAATATGGTTGCTATTTTATACTTTACTTCTGTTCACAATATGGTTGCTATTTTATACTGTACATCTGTTCACAATATGGTTGCTATTTTATACTGTACTTCTGTTTACAATATGGTTGCTATTTTATACTGTACTTCTGTTCACAATATGGTTGCAATTTTATACTGTACTTCTTTCATTTCAGATTTTTGGAACAGTTTTTATCATAACTAGAGCTTGTAGAACAGATAAATTTTTGAATCTGTTTATGTTGGTACTGTTGACTTTTTGGATTGAGATACTTAACTTCAGCATCGCCTTTTTCAAGGTTGATTTTAGTTATGATGCTGATCCATCGCATAACATTATAGAATACTTCTACATAACCTTCTAAACCTACATAAGAATCCTTAAATAACCTAAAATGATTAGCATCTTAAGTGAGCATCAGATTGAAATTTATCTTGTTTCAATTTTGCAGTTTATTGTGTAGTTTGTGTAGTTATTGTGTACTGTGTGGTATACCTCTTTGCCCCAACCTTGTTCCTTTATTCTCAAGATCTATAAACCTTTATTCCCAAGATCTATAAACTGATGAAAGCTATGAGCAACAGGTAGGGTTGTTATATCGTTGTACTTTTCATTACAATTCTGATTGGACACCTTTTTTTATACCGTTGTAATTTCACATTGCAATTGTCTAATCCTTTCATCTAAATAAAGTTAACACCTTGAACTTCACATTACAAAATTCATGCATGGCTTCTGATATTGGTTTTGGTATGGTTGCTTTAAATATTCTTACATTGTCAACCTATTTACAGTACTCCCAATATCATCAATTGTGACTTATCAATTTTCATATTGTCCTGCACAACCATCAGTAAATAAATATACTTTATAGAAATTGAGAAACATTACTTTTAATGTAAGTATGACAAGTTGAAAAATTTTGTACACCTAGATAACATCATGTGTAATGTTGTTTGATGCAAAGCAGTAAAAAGTATGCTTTAGCAGTAAAAAATATGCTTCAGCAAGTAGTTGAGTTGAGTTTTGGTTGATAGAACTAGAGATAATAGCTCCTTTGAGCAGCAACCATAATAGAATTTGTAGAAAAGAAAAAGATATTTGCTCAAGCTTGAAAGATAAAGCAGCTCCAACTACATTCATAATGCACTTTTGGACTTTGTCTAAAAGAGGAAGGGTATCATTAGAAAAACCAGTCTAAATATGATAACAGTATTCCATACTGGGACAAATAAGAAATTTTTAGAGGTAGTATGGAAACAGGAGTAAGAAAATAGCAAGCACAATTAAGAGAAGTAACTTATACATATTTCCATGAAAGGTCAGCAGTGAATCATAAGCCAAGAAGACATTAGGAAGGGCTCAGGAGTGGGTTATTATTCATTAATATAGGAATGCTGACAGTCTGTTATAGAAATGAGATAAGATTCAAGATTAGCTTCCTATTCTATGTGATCAAAAAAAAGATTTTAATTCTACACAAAGGTATAAAGTTGAGTCATCAGCAAATAGAGCTACTTTAGATGTTAGATTGTCGGAAAGATCATTAATGTAATAAACAAAACAGGAACAAGGATAGAATATTGAGGTACTCAATTTTTAATTGCATTTTTAATGTTTATTTTTAAATTTTTGCTATTTTTATATTTTATTAAAAACATTTTTTTGTTAATGAAAATAGGGCCATTTTCGGAAACTAGATCAATCTTAAAGTAGCACTGCCTCGAGTTTGATATTTTAGACCATTATTTTCTGAGTGAATTTTTTTTTATAAATGCAACAGCCAAAGTACTTTGAGGTCCCATGGTTCAATATTACAAAAAAAAAGAGAAGTAATTCAATGTGCAATTTGCCAAAACAAAACAACTAACAGTTGGTTTTTGAAGACAATTGCAGCTGGTTCGCATGTTATATAATAATAAACTTTGATAGTTTTCACTTTATAGTAAGCGTTAAACAAAGCACCAATTAGTTATCGCAGCTTTTTGCGAACAGTTTTATGAAATCAGCTTGTGGCAACTAAAGCTCTGCACTAATTCAATATATTTTAATTTATGATCTTGGCAGGTCCTGGTTTTATTCATTTATGTTCAGGTCTTTATAAAATAAACAAATTTTATAAAGATTTAAAATCTTTTTTGTGGAAATTTTTTTTATGCTATGAACAAATGATTGAAAGTATAAATAAAAAAATTTATAAATTATACTTTTTGAACTCATTTAAATAAGCATAAATACTCCTGCATTTGATGTGAATTTTATGTTAAATCAAATTAGATTGACAGATTTGTAAAGAAAAAAAAATCCTAAATACAAGACTATTTAAACATTTTAAATTTAATTTATTATTTAAACCTGTTTTGACTACAAACTTCAAAATTGTATCAACTGCTTGAAGTAAATCACCCAAAGACAACTTGGAATCTGGCAAACTGAAGTCAAAAAGCTTCATTAACTCTTCTGGAGTCATAAAATCAATTATCTTTTCATTTCGATTGTTAGAAATTGTCAAAAAGGAAACAAGTTTTTTAACAAACTCGTTAATATAAGATTCTGTGTCCTTACTGTTATTTACATTTGGAAGTAGATCTAAATATTAAGTCAAATCAGAAATACATTAAATATTGTATAAAATAATATATTTAATATAATAAGTTATAAAAAATGAAAAACGTAATTGCATAATAGTAAACCTGTATGGAATTTAGTATCATAGTAACCCTTTGTAGACTTCTGATTGTTCAAATCATCATTTAGTGGCTGAAAATGAGTTGCCATTATATCAAAATAGCTAAAAGAGAAAACAAAGCAAATAAGTGTTCTTTAAGAATTTTAGCTAAGATATTTTTGAGATATTCACAAAGAAAAAAAGTTAAAAAATATAATTTGAATTTCAAAACATCAAAAATTAGGTTTTTTTTCATTATTCTAATTGTGTTAAATTTTAACAATTGAATGTTAAGTGTTAAAATAAAATTTGCTCAGAAAAAATATGAATGTTTTTTAATTATAAATTCATTATTTCATCTTATTGGTATAATTTTTTTAAATGATTTTATGTTTTTTTTGATTTTGGTTTTAATAAATTCAATTCTTTAATAAGGCATATTTAACTTTTTATTGTAAAATCCAAGAAATTTATATTTTTAAATTAAATGAAATTGAATTTTAGAAAATTTAAAGATAGGCTCGAAAGCTCTTCCCTTCCAATGATTTTAAAGTTTAGGCAAACTAGAGACAAACGATTCCAAAACTCAAAAATCTTATTCAACATTTATTTGAAAAAAGTTAAAATATAAATTGTTTTAAAATTTTGATTTATTAAGACAAAGCTTTTAAAAGTTTTCATTAATATTGCACTGTGCTTTATTCATTGAAATTAAAGCTGCGTGAATTTTAATAAATATTGAAGTAGTATATTTATTTTATTATGAAAGTTTTGCTACTTATTTATAATTTAAACTTTAGCTGTACCCAGTAGTGTGTTTTGGGTTTCAATGGTGGTATAGAGGGTACCAAATGTACACAAATTAATATAGAGCCACCCTCTAAGAGTTCGAGTCAACTGTATGCGCAAATCTATTTTTGCGTTACGATTGAAAAATTGAGGCCACGAGAACAAAAGTAACCCAAATGAGTTTTTTTTGCTTAACGCAACTCTATAAAAAACTTAAAGAATCTCAATAGATCGTTAAAACTGAAAAGCTGATATAAATTCAAAAACAAGTGAGATAAGGGGCCATCTATAAAGGACGTCACCATTTTTTAGCCTTTTTTTGTCCTTTTTAACTCGACCCTTTCCCCCCCCCCCCTGTTTGGATGACGTCCTTTATGGATGGCCCCTAATTTAATTAAAAAACTACGGAATTTTATTTTTACTATTTACTTCATTGTTTTAATATGTTGCTTACACCACTTTTGTTCTCATGGCCTCAATTAGTGATGTACCAGAATTCCGTTTCGGCCAGAATTGTGACTTTTAGTTCATTACGGCTCCGGCCGGTAATACAATACTTCATGTTTACTTTTTTTTTTTAAGACAAGTGACACAGACTGTAAATTAAATCAAAAAATTATTGTCCTACAGTGCAAAAAAGAACTATAGGTAAACCTAGATAAAAAATACAAGTTTCTAAACAAACACTATGTAATTTTATTCGCAATAACCAATTATGTGGAAGGATTTCTGGAAGAGTTGCTCTTCAGTTTTTGGCAACAAATTAGATCTATTTTCATCAATAATATTACCTAAGAATAATAATATATTATTATTATTATTATTATTAGGTAATATTCTTAGTTTAAATAGTTTTTTAAATGTTACTTAGATTTTAAATAGTTAAAAAATATCGGATGCATATTAAAGTAAATATTTCATTATTAACCTAAATTAAAAAAATAGAAAATAAAGAAACAATTTTAAATATTATTATTATACAGGTTAAAACTTTTAGTAAACTAAATTAGAAATTATGTTTAAATAAAACAAGAATCAAGTTAATGAAATTGTTTATTATTAATTTTTGTTCCGACCGGAATTATTGACAATTCCGACATATCCGGTTCCTGTTAAATTTTAAAACTTTCCTTCCACTACATCCCTAGTAATGATAAAATTTTGTATGTAAAGCGGTTTTACACTATCCTCTACAATATTATAATTAAATTATATTTTGTTGTTAAGATTTAAGCTTGTTTAGTTTTTATATAATTTAATTTTCAAAGTCCTTTTTCATTGAATAGTAGTTTAAGGGGTCCAAATTTATTTTTCTCTTTGTTTCTAACCTTTAATGGACGTACAAAAGTTTGGTATTCTGATCATTTTTATGAGTTAAATAAAAATAGATTTACGTCTATAACTGCTGCGCTAAATAAACTCGCAAAACACTTATTTAAGACATTTGCTCTTTTGTCCCAGATGTGAGAACAACAAGTTGAACAAATTTTTTTGTTAATATTTTTAACTAGATTTATTTTCATTGATAAATTTTAAATTTCACAGTATAATCTCTAAGCTTTCAAAAAATATAACCATAACAAATTTGTAACCCCTTCAAATTGAGATGGGTTCAAACTTTATATAGTCATAATTTTTAAACACTGAGAAATTATACTATGAAACTTAAAACATATCGATAAACTAAAGTCTAGTTAGGAATAGTAAAAAAAGTATTTGATCAACTTGTTTCTCTCACAATTGGGGAAAGTAGGGCGCGAAAATTTTGAAGTTTTTTGTTTCCAGGCTCCAATCATCGCAATTTTTTGTGAATCCTTATTTAACATAAATACAAATATATAAATTTTTTTGTTTTGCTCCGATTCTGGAGGCGATCTTATAGACCAAAAAAGTTAGCAGATTAAGCCACTAATATGTGATAGTGTTAGCTAGATCATTAATATAGATAAGAAACAATCAGGATTAAAGATAGAAGTTTGAAGTACCCCAGAAATTACTGGAAATAAAAATGAGTATTGGCCTTCGAGAAAAACTTTAATACTGCGGTTGAACCACAAGCTGTAAAGAGTATAATTGAGAGATGACTTAAGCATCGGAATCCAAAGAAGTTTAGATGTCTAGCAATGAATTAACGTGTTTAACTAGAATGGCATAAAGAATACGACCATTAGATCAGATAGCACCTTTTTGCATTAATTTCTTACAATAATAAAAATGCGTCTGTTTTTAAGAGAATAGCTTCAATGAATGAATTAGCTAAAAATGATTAAATTAGATATAACAGCTGTATAGAAAGATGAAAACAGTTATTTTGAATAAGGCTTGACTTGAAAACAGAAAGAAGGAATAAAAGCTTCCATACTTTCCTGGATCCAGAAGGTTATGTAGGTGGTGGAATTTGTAAGCAGTAAGACTACAGTGGTAAGCCCAAGAACTGTCACAATAAAAATCATAAAAAGAATTCCAGTCAGCTATTGGATAATAGTAAATAGTGCAATGATAGGTAGTCCAAAAAAGAGGTAAATGATTAATGTTTTATAGAGATCATTGCATGATCAGAACCAGCTAAAGAAAAACAAAAAAAAATAATAATAATAGCTAGGGTCAAGACAAGAATAAATCAAAAAGTACATAGTTTATCGGAAAACGAGTCATAAAGATAACTATCTGAGTAAAAGATTGAGAAAAACAGAAGTTATGAGCTTTTTTAACTAAAGAAAACTTGACTTAATCATAGATAGAGCAAATCACCCAAAGTAATGAGCTATGCATTTATCTCTGTCCTATTATTTAACCTAAATTTATAATTTAGAGCTCCTTATGTGGCCTAGACAATGCATACAAAAAAGTTGTACCCTTATTTTAGAGCATTTTAGAGCTGTATCCTCATTAAAAAACAGGAGCTACTATCAAGGAGGCACAAAAAAAATTAAAGAATTTAGAAGAGTCAAGAAGATCCAGCATTTATCATCCTAGGCAAGAATCAACTTAACGCAAGTTTATATTTACGTCAAATTAGTTGGTTAAGAAGGAGTACGCTGGTCAATACAATTTTTCTATTTACCCCAAAAGTTTTTGCCTTCGAAGCCTTCTACACTACAATAGCTAGAAGCAGATAACATCTATCATAGATGAGTTTTATTTTATTAAGACACCATCTTAAGCCTTTACTCAACAAAGAGCCCGAGGGCAGGGAATTTTACTTTTTTATTTCAAGTAAGAGTTTATTTTTCCTAGCCTTTGTCTTAAAAATAAATCCTACAAGATAGAAAAACAAGGAGCAGGTAGATTTAATCTAATATGTGTCAATGTTGTTTAGCTGTCAAGGTTTAGCTTAGCTTTCTTTTAGGTAGATAGGTTTTGCTCGAATGTTGTGCAACAATTGCTCTCTAACATTTTTATTTAGTAATGAATCGTCACAATTAAATTGGTTATTTATTACTGTTTAAATTGCATCATAACAATTTTAAGTAATTTTTTTAAAATCAAGTAGTTAAAATTTAGCTCTAGGCGTAAATTGAACCTGCTGATGTGCAGTTGTGTGATAATGATATGTTTACTGCACAACCATGAACAGTCTTGCAAAATAAAGCATGTTAAACAGTTATGCTTCAGATGATAAAATTTGCTACATTTTGTCCTTCCAACATATATGGCTAGTAAAATTCAGCTATTGTAATTTAGTTTAAGAACTTTCCTTTTAATCTTTTTTTACTGCTCATATATATATTCTTTTTTTTTACTCGTGATGTTTTAGAAGTTTGTAAAGCATAACGGCTGTTGCAACCTACTTCATCGATGCATGCACATTCTATTGGTATTTTTTGAGTGATGCTAATGTTAATGGGGAGTATATTATATTAAAATTATATACAAAAATTATATTAAGAGGCAAAAAATTTGTATAAGACATATTCTAGGAAGTAAAAAAGTTGGTCACGCAATGCATAGTGTTGCGCATTACTATCAAAGATTCTTAGAATAATTTAAAATTATTATTCAAAAATAAATGAAGCCGTAAAATGACTTTTTCGAACATAATTTTTTAATAACTTGTAAATAAACTTGTAAACAAAGGAAATTGAACCGAAAAAAATAATGGAGGTTTCTAAAATGACGTTAAATCAAATTACTTTATATATATATATATATATATATATATATATATATATATATATATATATATATATATATATATATATATATATATATATATATATATATATATATATATATATATATATATATATACATATATATATATATATATATATATATATATTTATATATATATATATGTATATATATATATGTATATATATATATATATATATATATATATATATATATATATATATATATATATATATATATATATATATATATATATATATATATATATATATATATATATATGTATGTATGTATGTATGTGTTTATATGAATGTAAATAAAGAATCTTATTGTATCATATAACTGTTATATATATATTAAGAGTGTTCAAAAGTTACACTAGAGCTATTTATATATAAATAAATATGTTATTTTTATCGCTAATGTATATAATAATGCATATAGCTAATGTTTATAATGTTAATAATATAGTATTGCAACTCGGAGTTTTATGTGTTTTCACAATTATCAGACATGTAGCAATATATATATATATATATATATATATATATATATATATATATATATATATATATATATATATATATATATATATATATATATATATATATATATATATATATATATATATAAATGTTTCGCAAAAAAAAAATTTTTAAACAAATATAAGTAAAAAATTCCAGGTAACAAAAAGAAAAACTATTTAAACTAAGATGAGTAAAATATATTCATTAGTTAACTTTTAACAAATAACACAGAAGGCCTTTCATATAAAATAAGATTATATATATATATATATATATATATATATATATACTTATATATATATACTTATATATATATACTCTATTAGACCCACTTTTTCTACTATAATCATTTTTTTCCAACCTAAAACAGCAATTTCATATATTTCAAGTGCGTCTAATAGCACTTCCGTTATGATATATATATATATATATATATGTATCAGGGTGTTAGCCTGGAAAAAAATTCATACAGCATATTTGCGAAAATAGGAATTTAGGTGCAACCAAAAAAAAGAAAAAAAAAAGCATTACATTCTGACACAAAAAATATTTCATAATTAGAAATTTTTCTCTACTTGATAAATGTTCAATTTTAATTGTTTAACTTGTTTCATTTTGAGCAATCTTCTTAAGTTTTCATTTTTAAATTGCTCCTCTATTTTGTTTAATAGAGTAGAAAGAAAACAAGAACAAAAGACAATAATTTGCAGTTTTAATGTATGGATTATTAAATTTATTCATTGAAACTATGATCTATTTTAATTGCGTACATCGCTTTTAAATACAGCTTTAAAAGATTCAAATGATTTGCTACATATATTGTCTTTTTATTTTCATTTTCATTTTTAAATTACAATCATAAAAAGTAAAAAAAAATGCTAAATAGTATTTAATTTTTAACAAAACAATTTTGATGATTTCCACGATTCTCTTGTTACTTTTCAAATAGCTAAAACAACTTTTAATTGACGAATGTTGATAAAAACACTATACATTATATGTAGGATTGCCAAATATCCGGCTTTTACAAAGGAAAAAACATTTAAAAAATTATATATTTTCACATATTTGTATTCTATTCCATAAATACCCAACATTTGGTAACCCTAATGTTTAAAAAAGCGATGTCTCAAGGCTGTGAGACGTGTACTTTTTTATTTATAAATATTGGTTAATAACTAATAATACTTTGATATTATTTAATTATCTTCTTTTCTGTTTTACGCAAATATAACAGACAATATGTTTCATTGCAAGTTTTATTTTTGATTTTTTTGTTGTTGTTATTTTCAGTTAATTATAGACCAATTTCACTCACATGCACCTGTTGTCGTGCAATGGAAAGAATTATTAACTCAGATATTATTAAATACTTAACTCTCCATAACTTAATAGCCAATAATCAACATGGGTTCCTCAAGAAACGCTCTATATGCACTAATCTTTTAGAATCTGTTAATGATTGGAGTACTGCACTAGACAATAATCTAACAACAGATGTTATATATATTGACTTTCAAAAGGCATTCGATTCTGTATCACACCCTAAATTGTTAGCCAAACTAGCTTTATTTAACATAAGAGGTAATTAAAAAATTGGATTGCTGCATTTCTTAACAATAGGAGTCAACAAGATAAGGTTGGAACTTCATTATCAAACCCAACTTGCATCATTAGTGGAGTTCCTCAGGGCAGCGTGTTAGGCCCAACATTATTTTTACTATATATCAATGATATAACCGCTATAGTCAACTATCTTTAAAACTTTATGCCGATGGCATTAAGTTATACAGTTCATTTTGCAATACGGACCATAGCCATTATTTACCTTTTGCTCTTAATAATGTAGTACTTTGGTCAGAAACATGGCAACTACCTATTTCTACCAGTAAGTGTTTTGTTCATAGGATTGCACCTGCTTCATCAAGAAAATTTGTTAACTTTAACTTTAAGTTAGGAGATCATAAATTAGCTTGGTCTTCTATTCCGAAAGATCTCGGTGTAACTCTGGACTCTCAATTAAACTATAAAAAGCATATCTCAAACATTGTACATGCAGCTAATACTAGAGCATATCTTATTTTAAAATGCTTTAAGTCTCGCGATTCTAGAATCTTAGTAAAAGCCTTCAATACATATATTAGGCCTATATTAGAATATTGCTCCCAAGTTTGGTCACCATATCATGTTGAACTAATAAAGGTTGCAGAAAACGTGCAAAAACGTTTCACAAAAAAAATCCTGCACTTAGGCAATTTAACCTACGATAACTGACTTCAGTTGCTTGATTTGGAGTCACTTGAGTTAAGGCGAGTAAAGCATGATTTATCTATTTGCTACAAAATTCTGCATAACTTGTTCTTAATTGATAAATCTATGTTCTTTCTTTTTGACAACAAAAACAACATTCGGGGACATAAGTATAAATTGCACAAACAACATTGTTGACTAGATATTCGCAAATTTAGTTTCTCTTATCAAGTTGTCAACATTTGGAATCAGTTGCCTTTCGATGTTGTTAATGCCGATAATATCAACATCTTTAAGAGGAAAATTAACTCAATCAATTTTGATAAGTTTTGTCGGCGTTGATTATTTATTCAATGTTGTACGCTGTTACATAATTTATTTATTCTTTTTTTTTTTTTTTTTGGGTGGGCACGCTGTTAGTGTCCATCAATATTGGACCTGCGTGTCCTTTAGAACATGTATATTATCTGTTATAATAAATACAAATACAATACAGTTTTCTTTACCAGCTAGTTTACTTTACTGAAAGTGTTAATAAATCTTAATAAAAACGTTATTAACTTATTTTAAAGTATAATATTTGTTACTATGCAAAATTCTTTGTTACTTTCCTAACATAAGATAAACAGAAAAAATTTAAATAGAGAGTTTTTGAATAATAAAAATAAATTATTAAAATAATTTATTAAACACATTGAAAAATCTTAACTAGATAATTACTGGCGTCAATAAAAATTAAAAAATTTTTTTTTCTTAAACTTTTGAATGAATGATCTTGTTAATGTTAATGATGATTGTTAATGACGACATGTTTTTACACATTAAAAAAGATCGATCAACATAATTATTTTCCTTGTCGTGCATACTAATTGCGTTTTTTACTTGTCTAGCCCGACACTTTAAATCTGAGACTGATTTAATTTTTTTTCTATTTTTTACTATGATCTTATGGGCCTTTGGGTATTTTAAACCGATTGGAGATACTGTATTACATACGGTGCCATCACCTTGTATATATAAACACACACACACATAAATTTATATATATATATATATATATATATATATATATATATATGTATATATATATATATCCATACATATATATATATATATATATATATGCATATATATACATATATGCATGTATATACATATATATATATATGCATATATATACATATATGCATGTATATACATATATATATATGCATATATATACATATATATATATATATATATATATATATATATATATATATATATATATATATATATATACATACATATACATGCATATATATATATATATATATACATACATATACATGCATATATATATATACATACATATACATGCATATATATATATATACATATATATATATATATATATATATATATATATATATATATATATATATATATATATATATATAATATATATATATATATATATATATATATATATATATATATATATATATATATATATATATATATATATATATATATATATATAGTATTTTGTTCACATATGTATTTTATATACAATATTTATATATGATATTTTATTCAACAGTATTATGTATAAAATAAATGACCGGGGATAATAATAGTGAAAGACCCGGGCCAGGGCTGGGTTTAATAAAATATAGCCGGGGTCCGGTTCGTGACCGGGGCTGCATAAACAATTATACATCCTAAAGTATACGACTATGCCTTCTTTTCTTGTCATGTTATAGTCATACCTTTTATATATCTTTTATTAAATGTTTTTTGTATTTGCACATCAAATCAGCCTTTTAACTCTTCCCCATCTTTGTATTTTTAATTTTAATAAATCCAGCAACTTTTTAAGTCTTCAGTTAACTATTTTCTAGTATTTTAACCTGTCCTCTATTTTAAAGTAACTCATAACTTAATAGTGGTTGCTTGCAATCTTCTTAAAAATAAATTAGAGTTTAAAAATATATAAATATATGCCAGTATGTAATAAACAGTAAATATAAATATAAAATTATAATGCATAAAGTATTATAATTTTTTTTTAGCCTAGGCTATCAACTTCTGCTAAATCTTATAATTTTACAGGGGGCAGGTTTGCAAAAAGTCTCATTTTTTGATGGTGCAAGGGCCCCTGTCACTACATATATATATACACACACACACATATATATATATATATATATATATATATATATATATATATATATATATATATATCAATCCCTCAAAATTAGAGAAAATGATGTCGGCGCAGAATTGCCGACCTCAAACTATTAGAAATCAGCATCAGGATGGGAAAAAAAAATTGACACAAAGGAGTCACCATAAAGCATAAAAATGAAGACGGCGATTTTAAGCCAACCTCAAATACTTTGAGGTTATATATACATGCATACTTGAGGTTATATATACATGCATACATTTAAGATTATCTTCTTTGTTTTTTGTTGTTTATGTTTGCATTAATAAAAGAGACAAAAAAAATATTTACACATACTACACTACTTCTGTAAAACTAGTTGAATGTTAGAGGATGTATTTTAATGATGACATAAAAGTTTAATCTTAAATAATAATACATTTTTCATTCTTCATGACTAATTACTACACTTAATTATTATTAAATATAGTTAGTACTCATGACTCTTAAATAAGAAATAGTTTTAAAGTTACAATAAAAATTTTTTAATTACTAAAAATTATCCAAAGCAATATTTAAAATTTTAAATTGCTTGCAAATGGGTAGAAAAGCGTCAGAAGCGTTAAATGGCAAATTATTGGACTGGTAAACTTTAAGAATCATAACAGCATTGAAATTAGTAAACTTATAGGTGTTTCTGAATTTTGTGTGTGGAAAACAGTAAAAACCTGGGAGCTGACTTGTATTATTGTTGACATGCCTTGTTCTGGAAGACCAACAAAGTTTAATGACTGCAACAAAAGTAGCATATTCAAAACCAGTAGAGAAAATCCTAGGCTCAGCAACCAAAAGCTCAAATATTCAACCAATCCTTTTTTAATTGAAATGTAATCAGAGAACTTGTAAGAAGAATGTTAGCAAAAAAAGATTTTGGGTCTTATGTTGCAATCATGGCAATCATAATTGATGCAAAAGACAAAAATGGTACAAAGAATGTTTGCATTGGGCAGTTGAAGATTGGGCAAAAGTGATTTGGAGCAATGAGTCTACTTTTCAGGTTGTGAACCACAAAAGAAGAAAAACATTAAAATGTTTGCAGCTGAGAAATATTACAAACGCTAACTACAAGCAAGATGACACTATGGTGGAGACTTAGTATTTTGAGATGTTTTTCCCACAAAGGCCTTTTTTCCCACAAAGGTATTTGTAAGCTATATAATGGCTGTATCAACCAATATATCTACAAAAAACACTTAAAACACGTTTGATTTCATTGATAAGGTAATTGTATGGCAGAAGCAAGCAGTATATCTTCAAGCAAGACGGGGCTCCAGCACACACGGCACATAGTATAACACACTGATTTAGCCCAAAGAAGATCGATTTAAAGATAGATTACCAGATATCAATCCAATAGAAAATATTGGGTCATGGATCAACATTCAGTTGGTAAACCAAATTCGATCAACTGAGCATTTGAACTTCTGAACAAGTATTGGTTGAAGTGAATAGATGTGTTTCTTTGCTATTGAGCCAAATGTTGACACTTTAAATTTTAAATTTGTATTTTTTTAAAATTGTTTATGTTCTAACATACTCAATTAAACTTTTATGCAACTCATTTTATGATTATATAATCAATTATTTAATTCTTTAAATTTTTTTTAGCTTTTTTAGCTTTTCTTATTAATTTTAATTGTATAATTGATTGTTTTTTCATAAATTAAAAATTCATAGTTTTTGTTACTTAAAAAAATTATGAATTTTTTTAATAGAAAAAAAAATTCATAATTTTTTAAATTCAATTTCCTGATTTTTTTTAATTGAAAAAATCTTGAAAAGTTTGATTGAAATTACCATCTCAATTAAACGTTTGTGTGTGTGTGTGTGTGTGTGTGTGTGTGTGTGTGTGTGTGTGTGTGTGTGTGTGTGTGTGCGCGTATGTTCTAAAAATAATGTCATGAATTTAGTTTCTATTCACAAATAATAACGGCAAATATATATATATATATATATATACATATATTTATACACGTATATATATATGTGTGTGTATATATATAATATATATATATATATATATATTTACATGTATATATACATACATATATATAAATATGCACATATATATATATATATATATATATATATGTATATATATATATATATATATATATATATATATATATATATATATATATATATATATATATATATATATATATATATATATATAGAATGCTCTGAATAAATACTAGATAAAATAATTTAAAAAAAAAAACTGGTAAAAAGAAAAGGTAATTTTTCATAAATGTTGATCAAACAAACAAAAAGTTTTGTTTCATATTTAAACAAAATGCTTTTATTTTTTGGGGAGCACTTTTTTATGCACTTGCCAATGTTTTTGCCCGCATATGGGCGAGCGCTTAAAGACTTAAGCGCAAAACCGCTGGCTTAATGGAGAAGACTGAATGTATACTATAATTATTATATATATATATATATATATATATATATATATATATATATATATATATATATATATATATATATATATATATATATATTTTATTCAAACTATATATTGTACACTATATTTTTTAGTAAATAATGTCTGAAAAAGGTATTTTGAGAAGAAATACAAAAGGTACAAAAGCTCAAGTAAGTTTTTTCTATAAATACAATTTTTTTTTTTTTTTTTGTAGTTTGCTATATGTCAATATTTATACTATCAAAATAAAAAAAAGTGATAACCTTATACAATTAACATAGTAGGGTCATAATAAATTAATATGATATTCATTATTTAATTTTATCTTTATTTAAAAAAAAAGTTTGTTGGAGATGAGGTTAATTATGCTGGTGCTTCTTTTTATACGCTAGTGCCTTTTTATGTTGGAGATAAGCTAGTGCTTATATAATTTTCTCAACAAATGTCAATGTGTTTCAATTTAACGGGTGCATTAAACCAATGTAACACATTGACAAATGTCAATGTGTTACAATTTAACAGGTGTAATAAGCAAAGAATGTTTCTTACAATTCTTTGTTCTTTAATATTATCCTAAAAAATGGCTTAATTGTTGAACTATTTACAAAAATAACTTGGAAAAACTTTCACTCTCTAAAGTAGAAAAAAATGATATTAATGCATCCTACCTTCTAATTATGATGTTAAACTGATCACATATTAGGGCAAGTGAAACCATTTAAGGTCAATTTTTTCATATATGGCAAGTGAAGCCAATATTTTTATTTTGTAAATTCTTTTAAATATTTTTTTTCCTTTAGTTGTAATCCTACTCATACCTTATGTATTTAATTGGGCAATATAAAGGAAACAATTTCAGACAGGCCTCAAATGTGATAAATACATTTATAAAATAAATCATACTATTCTTTTATTTAGTTTCTCCTGTCATTACAAAATTTATTGCAACATAATAAATAAGAAGCTTTGAAAAGAAAAAATCAGATTAGAGTTAGATGTGAGAAAAAATGAGTACAAAACAAAATTACAAAATCATTAAAAACTGTTTAATCATGGAAATACGATTTTCTTGGTTAAGAAGTTATAAAAGATAAGAATGTAGACACGGTTGTAAAAATATTGTGCAAACTTTGCGTGAAGCAAAATAACACAATTCAAACCAAAATTTTGATATCGAGGTCTGTTAGAAATTTTTTGAACGTTTTCTCAAATGGAACTAATGTTGTAACTCAACGTCAGGTTTAATGTTTATAATATAAAAACGTCAAATAAAATATAATAAACATAATATGAGAAATTAAAAAAAATGTCATTATTGCAAAAATATTTTTAATATCGGAAAAACATAAAAATGAATATTTGTAAGAAAAAAAAATTAACAAAGTTGCTTCTAGTTCTAGCATATATGCGGCTATTCCACATATTCACGGCATGAAATTTGACCTTTTTTGGGGGGCAAAACATCAGATTTTAGCGCATTTAAAATTAAAAATTTAAAAATTAAAGATACTAAAAAATTTTTATATACATTACAGTTTCTAAAAACAAAATTATTTAGTTTTTAGAAATGCGACTATTCCACATATTCACGGCATGAAATTTGACCTTTTTTTGGGGGCAAAACATCAGATTTTAGCGCATTTAAAATTAAAATTTAAAAATTAAAGATACTAAAAAATTTTTATATACACTACAGTTTCTAAAAACAAAATTATTTAGTTTTAATATTTTATAGACTTTTAGATCCACTTGAATAAGGTTTCATTTCCATTTTATCAATAAACTATTTTAAGCAATGAGCACTAAATATTCCAGGCGTTTTACAAGCATTATTAATGATTTTTCCAAGTTCTGTGCCATCAAAAGCAGTTTTAATTTTTTCAGAAGCAACCATAAAAAGATTTACTTGACTTCCATCTCTGATGGCTTTATAAAATGCTGTTGCATCATTAATCAGAGCTCCTCTTCAATCAATTTTTTGTGTTGCAAATCTTTTTATGGTTGCTTCTATACCATTGCATGGTCCTTTACCATGAGAGGTTGCAAAGTAATTCCAGCAAATTTTATTTTTGTGCTTGCTTTCAAGCCATGGAATGAAGCTACTATGTAGCAATTTTTAAATTGACTGCTAGGTCCATCAGACCAAACTTGCAAGTATTTTACATCCTCTCTGAAAAGGTTAGTTATTAACAAGTCAATAAAATAAATAGAGTCACCATGCCAGCTAACAGCAGTAAATAATGTTACTAATTTTTTGTTTCAATGTGCTGACTGAACTTCATCCTGCCAGAAAGTTGAGAAGTTTTCTGCAAAGTCAACTTGAAACAAAACTGAATCAAGATTGCTTTTTAAAACTTTTTTTTGATTTTCATAACTCATTGATTGTTTTCCTTTTATAAAATAATGCAAAAGAAATTTGGGTAGCATTTTACAAACATCAGGCCTTCTCAGGAGACGCGTGCGGTTGCATGCCTTGAATGACGATGCATTTTTTTTTTTTGTTGATATCATGGCCACGATTTTTTTTGCATTTAATAAAAATGACGCATTTTAAAAACGCGCTGAAAAAACCAAATTAATTGCTCATCTTTTTTTTATTACTATTAATAATTCATTATTATAGTTATTAATGAGAAAATAAAAACATTAAAATAACATATATGGGCAATTCCATTTTTAACTTACGTTACACGCGCAACAACTTTATCAAATATTTGCTTATTTAAACTTTTAAATTAAACTTTTAGCAATTTTGTATGAAAGCTATTAGTCTAATAAATAAAATAAGCTTAAAAGTTTTGAGTTTGGCCAAAAGAGAGCAAACCTATTACTAAAAATGCCACTTGCACTTATGTTACACGGAAAACAAGGTAAAAAAACAAATTCAACTTATAGGTCTCATTTCTGCAAATCAGTAATGCAGTTTGTATTAGAAAGTTTTATAAAATGCAGAGAATTCTATACCAATTTAAAATTTTTATAAAAACTTTTTTTAAATAAACTTGTTTTTTTGATACTGTATTTTTTACTTAAATAACATCATTTACATTATCGAGCGGTTATCGTGATTTTTTTTTTAATCTATTATTAGGAGTTAGAGTTACATAACAAAAGAATTGCATAAGTATTGAACTCATTCATTAAGAATAATTAACAAAGAAATTTTTTTTAAAACTGGTGGCACTCCTTTTGAGTGATTTTTCATAACATTCATGAAAGTTATCAAACCGGAAATAGTTTTTTCGCAAGACCAAGATCAACTTCAGAAAAATATTTTAGTTTTACATCTTTATTATTACTTAATTGAGTCATTGGTTTGTCAAAGTTTTTATTTACACTTCTTACGTTTATTAGTATTGCTTTATTTTTATAAGATTGAATTTTTAAAATGCTGCTCAGTTGAATTTTTAAATATTTATTTTTTTTCTAAACATCTGTATGTCAACCAAAATAATAATACATAAACAAACAAACAAAAAAACTATAAAATAAAGAATTTTAATACATATAAAAAAAGTTTTTTTTTTTAATTCTCCTTATATAAAAAGTTTCAGTTAAAACCTTGTCAAGCCAACAGAAAAAAATAATAATTACTTAATGACGTAATTCATTTAGTAAACAAAAACTTAACGAAAAATTGCCAGAATTTTATTAAATGCATGAAAACAAATATATATATATATATATATATATATATATATATATATATATATATATATATATATATATATATATATATATATATATATATATATATATATATATATATATATTATTTTTATCTTTTTATTTTATCATTAATTACACATATATATATGTGCATTATTGTTAGGCTTTTATTTTCTCATAGATAATTATAATAATAAATTATTAATAATAATAAAAAAAAACAATAAGATGACTAATTAGTTTGAATTTTTCAGCGCGTTTTTAAAATGCGTCATTTTTAATAAATGCAAAAAAAAATCGTGGCTATGTTATCAACAAAAAAATATATATGCGTCGTCATTCAACTGCACGCGTCTCCTGAGAAGGCCTGAAACATTGTTATACAAAATTATGGCTTTTTTTATTGCTTTTTCGAGGTACTTAGTTCCATAAAGTTGCGTAACCTTCTCCCAAAGGTGCCAGGTAAATTCTTTATTGTGGTTTTTTTTCATCTAATTGGTATGTTTTGAGAAATAACTTTCCGTCCTTACATGCTTCACAAAGATTATTCCAACAGTTATCATTTTTCTCGACACACACTAAAGTATTTGGTAAAGCATGTGAATAAAGGGGAATTTTTAAATCAATGAAATGTAATGCTTTGAGTGACAAGATAATGTTTTCATGTTTTTGACATGAACAAACATATCTAGGCATTAAGCTTGATAAAATTATATGGCCTGGTCTCAAACTAGCAAACTTGGATTTACTGATTGAAGAATCAGTGTGTTTGTTTTTAAATATTTGATATGCTTCATTTATATTCATTGTCAAATATCTTTTTTGTATTTTCTTTTTTTCTTTATTACTTCTTAAAATAATTGTATCTCCTACTCCAGATGCCTGACAGGATATACCATCTTGTTCAAAAAAACTAATGACGTATAGCTTTGTTTCATCATTAAGAGCATTAGGTCCATGTGTTGGTTGTATATCTGGTAAATCTTTGTTAAACTGAATTGTAAGTTGTTTAACAACAGTTGCTTTTTTAAGAGGAGAAGTTGGAAGAGCACGTATTGCTTTTTTAACAGCTTTACCAAGTGTACAAGATGATTTGTAAGTGGGAGAGATGTTATTTGTTATTTTAGATGAAGAAACTCTACTCTTTTTTTTTTTCTTAACTTCTCCTTTAAGCATGCTAATTCAACATGAGAATTTTGTTTTTCCTTTTTCTGTATCAAGTCCTTTCCCTTTATAAAATCCAGGCCAAATTTTTGCATTTGTCTTTTTTTATACTTTCTCTGGCATTTAGCATGTGTCAAAGGCATTTTCATTACTTTCAACAAAGAAATAAAAAATTTATTTGTGAAAGTTTACTTTTTATAAGAATTGTATAAACAATAAACATTAAGAATAACTTCAGCAATAGCGCAACAAAATTTAATAAAAACTAAATAACAAAGGTGTTAGTAAAATATGTCTACATATTTACAGGTACAACTTCAAGTATAATAAAAAAAAA